TACATGTCAGTCCCATTGTACTTTAAAACTAATAAAAGTAACGAAAATTTCGAGTTTCTTAACTTAACACAATATTTAGAATACTTATATTATCTCAATCTCTTCTCTTATATCAATTCAAGAAATCCTGATGCGCTGTGTGCCTTATATAGAAGTTTACAAGAAATCAATATTTTAAAAACTCTTGCAAGAAGAAAAAAATGTAGTGGGCTCAGGACTTATTAAATTATGGCTGTATAAGGTGGATTAAGAAACAGATGTTTTAAAATTGTAAAATGTTCTAACTCGACTTTTAAGAAGTGCTTCCTCGGGCATAGCCTCGGGCACAGCTAGTTTAGTAATAAAAGAGGAACATTTTAAAACAGACGTTTTAATTAATATATATTAGTACCTCACCCATTTACGACGCAGGCAAGGCAGTGAAATTAAAAACAAAAAATTATTTATGAATACTACGTGTCTTCTTATTTCATTTGCATAATTAGGTATTGTTTGTGTATTATGTGATTACTGTACGGACGTATGAAGGTAGGATTTCAATGACATAGCCAAATTTATACCTACGCGTATTCAAACTTCAAATTTATGTTGCGTATCCAATCAATTGTTATTTTTTACTAAAGGCACTTGTCTTATAAGTACATATGGATATTATTGTTATTTTTTGTTTAACAACTATTCGCAACAGTGTATATGATTGACAATCGTGAATAAGTAGTACTTGGACCTATCTTATCTAAGTATTGTTACATTGTAATAAGTAGGCAGTTCGTGTATGTAAGTTACAACAAAGTAATAATGTTTTAAATTTGACGCGGTCATAATTTATACGCACAATTAGGAAAAATCACGGGATCTTATCACATTTTTATATTTATTGGTTTTTGATAGTTCGACGCTGGCGGGACACCAGTGGAGGATTATAAGATGAGCATGAGGTTAGGTCAGTTAGCCCAACGTGGTAAATTCAATACGAAGTTATCACGATGGTTGCCAGGGGATCCATGTGGAGGTCAACCTGATATGGTACATTGCTAGCAATCCCCTTGCCCTTATTTTGACAGTGTTTCAACCGCCATGATCATAAAAAAACTGGTTTAATTTTGCGTATAAAGTAATAATATTGTGAATTATTAAGATGATGAAGTATTAGAAAATAAAGCAAGTTAATTTGACTGTTAGTAATAATTATTATGACTAAACATTTTATATTTAGAACGGTTAGATTTTTAAGTAGCCTTAAAAGTAATATTTAGAACAAAATGACGGACACTACCTGATTTTAATTGATTAAAAATCCAGAAAAATACTGTCTAGTCTACGTCCAGACTTCGCGTCGAATGTACGCGTTACTAATAAGCCATGTAACACACTACCAAATAAACTTACAACAAATAGTACAATACTTCACTTGCTACTTACGTACTACAATAAATTATGTAGCGATACCTCATCACATCACATCACGCATTTGACGGCCACAGTTAAGCACACCACTTACTTCCGATGGGCGCGGGTTCGGTTCCTCGCACGGTGCAAACATTTGTATTAATGAGTATGATTGTTTGTATCGGTCTTGGTGTTTTCTATGTATAGTATGTATGTATTTACAATAAATATATATCTAAGTATTTATATCTGTTGTCTAGTACCTATAACACAAGCTCTGCTTACCGCGGGACTTGATGGCGCTGTGTCAATTGTCCAGCGTTATTTATTACGCATACATATAATGCTACAGTGGTGAGGGTATAACCATCGAGTTACAATTACATGCTGTGCCAACAGATAACAATATAATTAACTGTTTTATCTATTGGGAAAAATCTATAATCTACTAGATTAATACATCACGTGGTTTTGCAAGCAATTAACGCCCGTTATCAAATCATATACCAAAAGTCCAAAACATTAGAAGTGGCGTGATTTACATATTACGTCAATCAATAGTAACATTAATGAAATATAGAGGCTACCAAAGGACTTTTTAGGTATAGTATAGCTTCTATGTTACTATTACCATACCCACTTACTGCGATGCGCTACACTGATACCAGAAGATGAGAGGATATGCTTAAAGTGAGGTCAATTAGCCCATCGAGTCAATTCATAACTAATTAAATAGGTACTTTACTGCTTTGTAAGGGGTACCGTGTGGTAGTTGAACTGACACGGTATATTGTTAAGACTACCTTTCTTTATAATTTTACGATGAACAGCAATAGTGGCAAATTCACTAGGAATTTATCAAGGTGATTTCCAGGGGTACCGTGTTGAGATCAAGCTGTCATGAGATATTGCTAGCGATGGTGTTATCCACATCACTAACAATTCCATTCCCTTACAGGGGGGTTGTACTTATTTATTTTACAAAATATACACATCATACATATCTGTCATATCGTATGACTATGTATTGTCTTTGTTTTGTCTACAATATTTGGACAATCTTTATGATAAAGATTTATACAATGGAATTTTGCCTTTATCTTAATAATATCAGTGGCGATTGAAGTCTATATACCTATTAATCAGTGTGTGAAAGTATTTAAGTACAAGTACTATTCAATCAAAAATTTGTTTAGTAGAAATACTAATTTTTGTATTTATAAATTAATTGCAATATAATAATTTATGAAATTATGAATATTTTATTTTATTCAGTTGGTATGAAAGTCTAGTATAGATTCGCGATTTTCCACTTAATGGGGTCGTAATTTGGTCATTATTTGAAATAGAAATATGTATGAATATAATGTACTGCTTGTACGCTAACAAATATCATACATTTAGCTTGTATCAAACACACAAATTTGCTTTCATGTTTTAGTATTATTAAAATAGTATAAATAGTCTTCATGATTATAATGATATGTAGGTATAGGTAAATATCAGAGGCGTCAAAATTGTTAAGAAAATAAGTAAGGATTCAGAAATATTATATTTATGTGGAAACTGCGTTTATAGTTTTGCTATATTTATTTTTAACTATTGCAAACTAATATACTGTACTTATAATGGAATGGTACCCCCTCCTGCGCTGACGGTTTACACTGGCTATTCCTTACAATAAACACCCGAAATCGTAACTAAAAATAACTAACCGCCAGTCACAATTATTATGATGACTAGTATCTAATTAACAAAACTCCTAGCAGGTACAAATTAGGCGTTTAAACATGCGTGTCCAAATTGGAACACGGACGTTACCATTGTAGACAATGATTTTCTCTAATCAGCTATCGAATTAATTATTTGGAGTCGGACCGTGACGTTATGGCTGGGAGCATGAATAATTTAGATGACAAACTGCAGATTAGTTAATAGACGGAAGTATCTAAATACTTTGCTTTCTGTTTTTTTGCAGAAAGCATAGCATACGTGTGAGCAGGACAACAAAACACTGGAACTGTACCGTCACTTTTGTAGTTATAATAATTGTAAGGATACAATAGCTCAAAATACGCAAATGCCAAATGTGGTGTGTGAGGCACGGGTATTTAAGGATTAAATATGACATGAAAAAATGTTATTAGAAAAATAATTAATATGAAATATAAAAATAAATAGGTTTACGTAAAAGTTACGTACTATGGTTGACTGGGAGCCTTAAGGTGTTAAGTCCGCTATATGCACCATTATTTGTGTATTTGTTCATTAAAGTTTTAATAAATAATAATAATAATCTCTGGACAATTCACACAGCGCCATCTAGACCCAAGTTAAGCTAGCTGAAGCTTGTGTTATGGGTACTAGATAACTGATACAAATACATAAATATTTTTTTTCGTAAATACATACATATTAAACATAGAAAATACCCAGACCGATACAAACAATCATACCCATGAATACAAATGTTTGTGCCGTGCGAGGAATCGAACCCGCGGCCATCGGATGTAAAGCGGTGTGCAAGACCTCTATACCACCGAGGTCGTCAAATAAATAAAAGGATCCGAATCTCAATAGTAAAACATTTGTAATTCCCTATTTGATTTTAGCATAAGTACATTTAAGTTACGCAAAGTTTGAATAAACATTTGCACTTTCCATTTAAGCATTCATTGATCAAAGTAGAATTCGTGAATTGTAAACTGTTTGTGAGCGATTTAAATAAAAAAGAAATAAATTTAATGGGATATGTTTTTTATGTATCTGCGTCGTTTATATTTATCAATACGTGAGATAGTAAGAGTTACAAAAAAAGCAATGTAAATATTCATGTTCCCATACTTTTGTTGCTGAATATACGAACTGTTTTGCTATCTATACCTATACAATGGCAATATACCTTCATCGAATGTTTTTTATCAGACACCTATGGCTATTTAAAACGATAGTGTAGATTTTATCAGCACTTTGTGGCCAGCATTTGTACGTATTAGACGTCATATCATTTGATCAACGAACTCTTTGCAATAACCTTTTTTTGTGACTTTTTTTATAAAATATGAATGAGAATGCTAAAGGACAGCTAGAATATTTTGAGGTTCGTTCAAGTACTTAACAATATGATTATAAATAGTCAAATATACGTTTATTTGACTATTTATAATCATACACAATGTTGTTATAGTATAACATTGCCCGACACTTTTCTGGAGGAACTCTTATGTTATCTGTGGAATGTTTGGTAATGGTTGGTAATGGAGCGTACCGTTGGAATGGTTTGTTTTAAGAAGAATATATTATATATTATAATATTACAGTATAATAGCATATCATTGTTACATACTTTAGACAGGTCGACTGTATTACTTTTTGTATTGATATGAGCACACATTGATGATTATTGTCTGAAAAAACTGATCGCTATATTGATCTTATACTAATAATATCATTATTAATTAATGTAGGCGTTTCCTGCCGAAATATAGTTTATTTGTTATGAATTATTTATTTAATATTAATCTTAAGAAATTAATTTGTATAATAAATTGATCAAAGAGTAGCTAAAATTAAGTAATATCTGTTACATTTTTGAATATTTTTTTCTATAGGAAGTAAAAGAAGAATTGAACAAGAAGAAAGAAGATGACGGGGACATCCTGGAGACGATCCTGTCCCACGTGGGCGAGATGGGGCGGTACCAGAAGTGGCTGTTCGTGGGCATGATGCCGTTCGGGTTCATATTCGCTTTCGTGTACTTCGTGCAGATGTTCATAGCAGCTACTCCACAGCGGCACTGGTGTACTGTGCCGGAGCTGCACCACTTACACTGGGAACTAAGGTAGGTGCTTGGATTATTTATTTTAATAATAAACTTTATGTAACCACGTGACCCCGCGAACTCCGTTCCAAAATTATATGTCAAAGGTTTTTTAAAGTTTAGTTACGCAAAAAAATTCTGAACGCACCCTATTTGACAGGTGTCAGCAGTTTGTATGGGAAAATAAAATTGTTGGTTTTACTATTTTACATGCAATTTATTCATATTTTATCACCGTTTAAACCTTCTCTGGTTTTCCACGAATATTTGAAGACTAAAATTAGCCAAATCGGTTCATCTGTTCTCGAGTTTTAGTGAGACCACAGATAACAGAATATTACATAGACTAACGAACAGCAGCTTACTTCAATATTCCCCATTAACCCGCACTTTTAATTTATAATATCAGAAATTATATTCATATTTTTGAATGTGCCGAAAATCGCAGAATTCATTTAAAAATATTTTGTTTTTGTATAATGCTTAAATTGTATTATTAATTATACTTTTTTATTTACAACGATTTGGATTGTCTGTTATGGTGTTGGTATGTCTTGTAATGGAAATAAATAAATAAAAAAGAATAATTATGTTTAGAATACATCTATAAATTAAGTCACACCAATTACAGTAATTGCTACGTCACTTCCCCCGAAGAAGATCCTTCTTCGATTGCATCCGATGAATTTGCCACGGACCTCGAGTCCAAGTACGTAAAGTAACGTGTTAGTATTTAAAAAAATCACGCGACTCTAATATCTGATGGAGTAATCAGTGACATCAAAGCGATTTAGCCGCAAGGTGAATGCGCGCATGAGTATTCACTAATTAATTGATATATGTAATAGTTTATCAATATATACAATGCGGCGTCGATGGTCTAGTGGTTTAGTACACCGCTTTTTTCTCGATGGTCGCGGGTTCGATTCCTCGCACGTTGCAAATATTTGTATTCAGGCAGGTATGATTGTTTGTATCGGTCTGGGTGTTATATATGTATCATGTATGTATTTACAATAAAATATCTTAGTGTTTATATCAGTTGTCTAGTAACCATAACACAACCTCTGCTTACCGTGGGACTAGATGGCATTGTGTTAATTGTCCAGGGTTATATATTATTATTTATTTATTTATACAACGCCAGCCGCCGGGTATGTTTGTTGAAATTATTAATTAACTAATGTCAATGAACATACAAGTAAAATATTGTCACGACTGTAATCCCAGATGGGATATGCAGAGGTATTGTCAACTGTTGATGTTGTGGTGAACGTGGCAAGTTGCGTTTCCCATATTTCGCTCGGTATAACCCCACTGTGCACTGCAAGGATCCTACAGCCATCCCTAGTATTCATTTTGGTTTTTGTTTTGTTTTGTGGATGATAATGAAATGGCGCACCCGCCTGCGCTGGTGGACCAGTGGAAGATGATAAGATGAGAATGAGGTCAGGTCAGTTAGCCCATCGTGACTGACATGGTACATTGCTAGCAATAAGATTATCAATACACATTACTAACAATCCCCCCTATTCATTTTGTATTTTTTTTGAGGGGTTTTTTTTTGTGGATGATAATGGAATGGTGCACCCGCCTGCGCTAACGGTTTACGCTGGCGGGGCACCAGTGGAGGATGATAAGATGAACATGAGGACAGGTCAGTTAGCCCATCGTGCAAATTCACCAGGAATTTAACACGATGGTTTCCGGGGGGAACCGCGTGGAGGTCGACCTGACATGGTACATTGCTAGCAATGGGGTTATCAATCCACATTACTAACAATCTCCATCCCCCCAATTCATTTTGGTTTGTTATCGATGTTTTTTATATTTTATTTTTATTCTGATAGTTATTTTTATATTTTAATAATAATAATTTATTTAGCATAGCATAATACAGAGTAAAAATATAGAAAAATTTAAAAGATAATATCTTATTCTCGTTATAAGCTGAAATTGGCCTCCACTTAGGTGTTGCCGCAGCGTGTCACAGCAGCGCTGATTTTCAACGGAGATACTCGAAAAAAATAAATAGCATTCTTGATAGTACTGACTTTAATTATGTTCCTCTTCTTTATAGTGATTGTGTTGAGAAAACTCTTTTGATATTAATATATTTAAAGGTTTTTTTCTATTCTATAATCAAAAATATAAAAACAAAATTATTGTATTGTGTCACCTTCTTTATCTACCATAACATTAAAATACATTTTTCAGTCAGAAATAGTTTTATTACATATTTCTACATCAGATTGTTTTTGTAATGACGTTTTTTATACTACATTTTTTATTTGGAACTGGTCTGAATGCACACATTTACCTTTATTATGAATGTGTCTGTCTCACTTTTTAACAATCCTCAATCAGGGATGAAAGGGATTGTTAGTAATGTGGACAAATGGCTCCATAGCAATGTACCATGTCAACCTCCACGCGGTCCCCCCTGGAAACGATGGCGATAAATTCCACGAGTTTGCCACTATGTGCTAACTGACCTGACCTCATGCTCATATTATCATCTGCCACTGGAGCCCCGCCAGCGTAAACCGTTAGCGCAGGTAGATGCATCATTTACGAAGTCCTCAGTCATAGAGTCAGGCACAAATATAAATTGACACAAAAAGTTTTCTTTGTTTTCGCCCAGATTTGAACTCGCGACATTTTGGGTATAACTTATGTAGTAAACCACTCGGCCACGGCGCTATCTGATGATGGATGTCAGTGAAAGCTTATCAATTCGCGTGGAAAGTACCTACAGTGATCGATATCGTAGATGAAAATCTCCAGAACGCGTCCTTGTTGGTACTAAAATATAGGTAATATCTTTCCATGTGTATTTGATAAAATATTCGTGCGTGAGATATTAGGTAATAGGGCAATAGATAAAGATAAAATATTAGGCATTGATACTCTTATATACTAGCTGCTTCACACATGTCTGTAATTTCCGTTTAAAATTTTCTTTTTTATGTACATTATCATCCTATATTTATAATATTCAGACCAACCTTGCTCATATTTTTGTATATACGATCTTTATTTTTTAATGTTACAAATCCAATGAAGAATATACATTGATTATTTTAGGGGTAGAATTAGAAAAGTAAAATATGGTATAGTGTTTATTAGTTTTGACAAAAAAAGGAATTTCGTTTTTTTATATTTAAGACTAGCTGCACCCACGACTTCGTCCGCGAGGATTTTAACTTTATTTTTCTAAAATAAAACTAACCTGAGTTATTTGAAATTACAAACAGACACTTCAATTTTATGTATTCGTATGTATATGTTCTAGACGCAATCTGTCGGTGCCACCAGCAACCGCAGTGGGCGATCCATGGGACAAATGCTCCACCTTCAACGCCAACTGGAGCGAGGTGCTGGAGACCATGGCGCCTCCACTAACAAACACAACTGTGCCTTGCCAGAACGGATGGGAGTTCGAACTCTCGGATATACCGTATCACACAGTAGTCAGCGAGGTGAGACAGCTGTTTTTTTATCGGACTACTCTAATGCTGTTGGCTGCAGCTGGCCTTTACAGCTTCACCCAACGATAGGGGACGAGTGCAGATGGCACTCCAAACTCGCGGAAGGACTTATGGAGCGGCTGAAAGCCAACTCCCGCCTGACGTATTCGACTTTAGTCTGAGGGCACCGCTAGGGGTTCAAACCTCGCCTCAGGCAGTCGTAATTTCGATCCCCGTTTGAATTGGACGGGAGCTCGATCGGAGAGGGAGACAGCAGATATTACGTAATAGATATATATTATTTTGTTTCATTCTGCTATTATTACCATGCATGCACCATGGTCTCACACCACAAATATTAATAGCAAAATTCAGATCGATACATACAATCGCACTCATGAATCCAAATGTTTGTGCCGTGCGAAGAATCGAACCCAGTCTCCGAGACCGTCAATAACAATATTAGTAGGGATGTTAACCTTTTTCTATTTATAATTTATATAGTTTTAATGCTTTCACCGGAGAGTCAATCTCTCGACCAGGACGCACTCTCGATTATTTATTTTTAATTCTCTCTCAATTATTGTATTAATGTAGAGTAAGACTGTATAAACTCATCTGAAAATTAAGTTTTTCGGTCGGCGTTTGAGTAATAAATGATTTTTATACAGCGTGGATGGGTGTGCGAGAACGCGGGCTTTGCTCCCATAGCACAGTCTGTATTCTTCGCGGGCTCGTTCGTGGGCGGCCTATTCTTCGGCTGGCTGGCTGACACCTTCGGACGGGTGCCCGCTTTGGTTGGTAAGAATGTATACCTACTGACAAACGAATCTTGAACACATTATCTTAATCTTAATAATATTATAAACGCAAAAGTTCGTAAGTATGAATGTTTGATACATTTCACGCAAAAACTATTGAACGGATTTTGATGAAACATAGCTGGTACGTGTTGATGCGGCTCGAATGCTCAGATGGTATGTGAGGTTGTCTTCAGCAGATTACGGGGTGAATAAATGATAGATTTCGCTTGATTTCTTAAATTTAATTGGTAAATACTGTGATAAATTACAATTTTGGTGGAGTGAACAAATATACGTTAGATCGATCGGTTGATTTTTTAAGTCTGTACGTTACTTTGCGTATTTAAATTGGATGGGTGTGCGGTCCAATCAGAATGCTCTCTTTGCTTGCGTTTTGTTGCTGCTTGCTGTATGCGACATAGCTTATATATCAGAATGACATATAGGCTCTAAGTTTCACGCGGCTGAAACTGCGGGTACAGCTAGTACTATATAAACTTAATATGTACCATCATAATAATACCCCTGGACAATTTACACAACGCCATCTAGTCCCAAGGTAAATAGAGCTTGTGTTATGGGTACTAGACAACTGATATAAGTACTTAGATACATATTTTTATGTAAGTACACAAATAATGTACAAAGAAAACACCCAGACCGATACAAACAATGAAGTTATACAAAAATTTGTACCGTTCGAACCCGCGACCATCGACAGTAAAATGTTGTGCTATACCGCTAGACTACCGAGACCGTCTACAAACAATCTAACTATACAAATGTTTGTACCGTTCGAGCTACTGAACCCGCGACTAATGATAGTAAAACGGTGTGCTATACCGCTAGACCATCGAGACCATCTATAATAATATTATTTACCTCGTTAAATCTTGAACTCTCATAATATCCTTGAAGGTTCAAATCTGGCGAGCCATTTCTAATTCTGTTGAGAATTTGGCCAACAATAATACGCGTCCATTTTGTTTAAATTTAGATTTGATTAACAAGAAAAAGAACATTACCCTGATGCCAGTTTATATTTGTCTGTGATATGTAATTATAGCATAATGGTTTGATTCTGTTTGCACACAATAAATCGTAATAAAAAACGTAATGTACATTAATTATAGGTTTGCAATATAATACGTTAATATCAATACCAAATAAATAATAAAGGCAATTACAGTAGTTTTATTATTTATAGATCGACATTGAGAACTGATTTTGTAAAATAACGAACGAACTACATACATATTATAACTGACTTTGTAAAAGAAATATTAAGATACAATATTCTAATACATATATAAATCTCAAAATATCAATTTCGTGTTTAAAAATAGAAAATTTAAATACTTGGTCCTTATACGAACAGTTAGTATAAGCAGGTTATTTCACAAGCACGCTTGCTAAATGGCGTTCTAAAATACAGGCCACCAAGAAAAAAGTTATGCTAAGTTAGCAAATAAATGTATAAAAAAGACTAAATAAAATTTAAAACTTTTACGAGGAGAGATCGCGCTGCATTTATTATTTTAAACAAGAATATAATTTTTCTGAATAAATCTACTAATTTACTACTACTAATTTCAATGCCCACGTACGTGGGCATTAAAATTTATACAATACATAGAAACGTTCCTGAGTAAACATCCGTGAGTTCGATATTACTTTCGTATACATTGGGGTGTTTGGAATATGGAATATTTTAATAAATACAGTCCACTCTCTATTTTTTACTTTGAATCATTATTCAACAATCTGAAATGACAATTATATCAAAAAGCAACACACAAGTTTTTCTTCTTCCTACTTGTGATGAGACAGACAACTTTCCGGATTTGTTTTAGATTAAAAAAATAAGTATAACAATTGAAAAGTACTTAAATTTGTTTGAATAAAGTATTTTCTATTCTAGTTTAGAAAGAGCAATGGACTAACTAATACCATTTGTAACAATCCCCACTTCGATAACTTTCAAATTTCAATAGAGTTCAAATAAATAGAATTATGTGTCCATTCCAGGATCGAACCTAATCGGATGTGTGGGTGGACTGGCCAGTATTTTCACTACAGGACTGTTGGACTTTGCATTCTGCAGGTTTCTTGTGGGTATGGCGTACGACAGCTGCTTTATGATGATGTACATTCTAGGTAAGAGTTTATTCATTTCTTAATAGTAACATTATGCGTAAATTAAAATCCGATTTCATATAAAAACTCGAAAATGTTGATTATATATTATTTAACATAGAATTATATATTAAAATCAACATTATGTAATAAAATATTTTATAAAAAATTCTATTTCATGTACGCAGTTTCTGGTAATATTTTGGTTTGTTATTATTCATATTTTGTTTTGCGTAGACGTATTTAAAACTTATAAATTATCAAGAAAATGACTAATTACATACAAAAAAGTAATAACATACAATATACTAAATAGTGTATGTAATTAATTCTTTGCCCATGCTCAGATGTCACCAATTTTGCAGAGATCACTATTTTTTACTGAAAGGCGCAAAAGAATGTAGATTACTCGTGTCTGCCTTTACATATACTCTTACTTGAGTGAATGCCGAATCGTGTGTGAAAAAGATTAGGTTTAAAGGCAGTTATTTACACAGAGAATCTTGTATGTTTTCCAGTTTTAGAGTACGTGGGTCCTAAGCACCGTACGTGGGTCGCGAATATGTCAATTGCGCTTTTCTTCGGTTCTGGTTGCCTGGTGCTGCCATGGCTCGCTCTGTGGATAGGTGATTGGAGACAGCTCGTGCTGGCGACATCATTACCCATGCTTGTAGCGTTGGCAGCTCCATTCTTAGTTCCTGAAAGTGCTAGGTAATGTATTAATATAATTGGTTTACATTTTATTTCTTCTAGGCGTTTTCTTCAGTCGAAAAATACACATTATAATATCAGTATAATTCGCACAGCTCAATCGAGTCCAAAACTAAGCATAGTTTGTGTTGTGGGTACTTTTAACTAATTACAGAATATACGTAGAAAATACCCAGACCAAAACAAACAATATACTCAAGAATAAAATGTTTGTACTGCGCGAGAAATCAAATCCGCAACCATCAAAAGTATGGCGGTGTTCTAACCGCTAGACCACCGATGCCATCAATGAACGTAATATGAATACAATATTGCAATGTTCAATACATTGCAATATGGTACCTTCTTGTTAACGTTCAGTAAAAATATCTAAATTATAATGAAATCCGTTGCTTTTGACTAGAGCAGTATTCCGCAAAGAGTTGCAGTATATAGGAGAGCCTTAACAACGATTGCTCACATATTTATCAATAAACATATTAAGCAAAAAATTAGATATCGTAGGTGCAACAATAAAAAAAGATTGCGAAACACTACCAGAGAGACACAAGTGACATTATATTGTAGACTAGCTGTTCCCGTTCGACTTCGTCCGCGTGGAATTTAACTTTAATTTTATAAAATAAAAATAGCCTAAGTTACTCCTTATTACATCAGCTACCTGCCAATAAAAGTCCCGTCAAAATCGGTCAAGCCATTTCGAGATTAGCCGGAACAAACAGACAGATAGACAAAAATTGTAAAATGTGTTATTTTGGTGTATGTACCGTATTTATATTCATATGCATGTAGTAAAAAACGGTTATTTCAATATTACAAACAGACACTCCAATTTTATTTATATGTATAGACTTTGTTGTTAATGATCGTACTTATTAATGTTTTATGCAGTAAAAAATATGGTGTAACTTTTGACCTTCACCTTTTTTTTATATAATAATCATAATTCAAGCACGAATTATGATTATCATCTGCTGCGGATCTGTTTCTTTATCGATGTTATTAGCACTTAATCTGTACATAGGTGTTATTTAAACTGTAAATAAACTGAAATAACGAAAAGGTTAGTCGACATCACAGAAGACCGAAGAGCTGGCAGCTACCTTGGACAAAGAATTAGTCTAGCTATTAAGAGGGAACGCTGCCAGTATCTTCGGAACGTTGCCTAAAGGGACCCCTTTTAATAATATATTTTAGTCATCATATTATATATTTTTAATTTTAGGTTCTTAGTTGTACAATTAGGTTATCTAAATACTAGTAATAAATTTTATTAAACTGTAAATATATTGTCATATTTGTCAACATGGCTTTATTTACAGATGGCTTTCATCTCGCGGTCGTATCAATAGAGCCGTGGAAGTATTAAAGAGATTTGAAAAGGTTAACGACACTAAAATACCGCAGGATGTCTTGGATGAATTTATTGTAAGTATAAAAGACGGGAAAATATTGAAATTGTATTAAGTTGTACCGTGTCACTTAGTATATTTGAAATATAATATTATGAATTGTAATAAATATATGTAAATTGTATGTAATAACTAGTTACTACATACAATTTACATATATTTATTACCCGTGCAATTTATAGCCTATATGTTATTCTGATGTCTAAGCTATATTACTGTAAAGTTTCATCAAAATCCGTTAAGTAGTATTTGCGTGAATGAGTGATAAATATTCATTCATACTTACAAACTTTCGCGATTATTATATTAATAAGATAATATTTTAAATATATATATACTTTTAAACCTATTCCTTACCTTTAATTTTGATCTATTGTCACTTATGTAAAGTGTACATTGTTTTTGTGGTTTCTATTTTTTGTTTGTTAACGTATTTTCACTCATGTACTGTTATTTTTAATATTGGTGCAATAAAGCATTATGAAATTAAATTAAAACATCGGCTCCAAAAACACAGATAGAGCTAAATTTGTGTGAAAACAAAACAGGTCGTTACACTGTCTCTTTTGTTAGTACACGTACAAAATAAATTTTCCAGTAGTAAAATAGTTGTCATTTGCTCGCCATCTGTTTTAATTCAATCCAACCTCAAAATTTACGTACAGTTGAATGAAAGAATGAAAATATATTTACACAGTGCTTATGCAGAATGAAATAACAAAACTTAAAGTAATTGAAATCCACAAAATATATAAAACACTGAAATGTCTCAACTTAGTAGCTTTAGGACTTAGGATTGATCGTTTTCTATCGCTGCCTTGTTTATTTAATACTAGCTGTGCCCGCGGTTTCACTCGCGTGAAATTTATAGCCTATATATGTTATTTTGATATATATATTACTGTAAAGTTTCATCAAAATCCATTGTTGCGTGAAACAGTAACAAACATCCATTCATACTCACAAACTTTCGCTTTTATAATATTTATAGGATTTTAAAATTGTACCCAAAACATTTTTTAAAAAAAGCTACATTATATATCTTGGTTGTATCTGTATTTAAAATGTTAGAAAATTGTTATATGCAAAAGTGATTATATTCAGTTTATTTCAATAAACTACACATCCGTCAGGCGTTTGCCTATAGTTGCTCGCTCCATAAGTCCTTCCGCGGGTTTGGAGTGCATATCTGCACTCGCCCCCTGTCGTCCGGTGAAGGTGTAACGTTTTCATTCAACCGCTGCCCCTGCCACTCGCGCTGCCGGAAATATTCCCGGGCGACAACTGAGCAAGAGGAATGAATGTAAACACACGCTGCCACTCGCGCTGCCAGTCCCTTGACTCGCGTACGAAAAACCGACAATGAAGGGAGCGCCGGGCGGCGCGAGTGGCAGCGCCAATGGCATGGGAAATATCGTGTTTACACTCTCGCGCTGCTCACTTCCTGCTTTCCCACTTGGGCTGAGTGTAAATTGGGCTTAAAGGCCATCTGCGGCCAACATCATTAGAGTAGAGAATAAATAATTGAATAAAAATTGCTTCTTTCAGGTATCGTCACGTCAAATGAGGCAGACTAACGAATCACTAGCGTCAGTGTTCAGGAGTCCACCACTACGCAACGCCATGATCTTCATGATAATTGTGTACATGGCTTGCGCGGTAATCTTCGATGGGCTGGTGCGAATGTCTGAGGGTTTGGGCCTGGATTTCTTTATCACGTTCACATTGACGTCCGCTACAGAGATACCATCAGTCACTCTACTAGCATTGGTGCTTGACAGGTTAGTTTTGTCGCGCAAGTGCTTATTATTATTCTTATCCGCTATTGAAAATCGCAAACCAAAAAAACCCAGTCCCTAAGTATGATTCTACTTTAGGATAAGTTTATATAATGTAAATACTTAATATCTTATAATACTCCCTTGCTTAGTTTTTAAAGTTAGTTTTATTGGTTTTAGTATCTCACCCCAAGAGTGTGTTAACCTTTTTTTTATTATTTATATTCTTAATATTTCTTACATCATCCGTAAAAACACAATTATATAATTGATGTAAGAAATATTAAGAATATAAATAATAAAAAAAAATATAAGTATATAGTTGCACATATGTGCTACTATATACTTATATATTCATCAATTATACATATCTATAATTGGTAATGAATGGTGTAAGTATCTACTTGTTGGCCCCGAAGTTAATCACAGTATTAACTTCAGGGCGCCGGGGGGCACCCTCTAGTAGAGTGCAGAAGTCCAATGTCAGCATTTGTTTAGATACTTCCAAACTTAAAAACATGTGTACACGAATTTAAGGTGTCCATACCATGTATCCTTGGCCGATTGAAATTATTACAACTATATATACTTTGTCGGAAGTTTATTTCATTACTTAATGGATGTATATTATATTGTTTAATTCCACTACCATTAGTATGTTATCCAATCCATTAAGTAGTAACTGTTTAAGCTGATAAATTTCTTCTAAATTCATAAAATATTGTTGCTATAATTGACTAATTTGATATTGAATATCAAATCTGTAACATCTTATTGTAAAACTGTACTAAAAATTTTAAAAACGTCTTGGTTTACAGATGGGGCCGCAGGATGCTAACGTGCGGGCCTATGGCCATCGCTGGTATACTGTCATTAATAGCTGCCTTCGTTCCTAAAGGTAAAATACCTATTCTATACATAAATATATTCTAAGTTAGTCATATACCCTAGCAATTTTACCTTGATGGTCTAACCATCTAGGTAAGATTTGTTAGGGTAGGGTAGTATATTTTGATTATCGGCGGCCTCGGTGATCTAGCGGTTTAGCACAGCGCCTTACTCCGATGGTCGCGGGTTCGATTTCTCGCATGGTAAGAACATTTGTCTTGTACTTGTATTCATGAGTATGATTGTTTGTATCGTTCTGGGTATTTTATATGTATAATATATATGTATTTGTATCAGTTGTCTAGTACCCATAACACAAGCTCTAGCTAGCTTAACATGGGACAAGGCGCTGTGTGAATTGTTCTGAGATATTATTATTAAAACAGATACAAGAGGCATATTATTTCTTTCATATTTATATTGATATTGTACCGATTACTTCTCATTAGAATCGGTAAGTTTAGCGGTTAAGCACACCGCCTTACTTCCGATAGTCGCAGGTTCGATTCCTCGCACCGTACTCATACGATACCACGTCGTATATCGCCATCCCGGAGGACTGAGATTTTATGTCTATTCTATAATTTAACTGCCTTCAACAGAAATAAAGATTACAAAGCAAGCTGCTTGGCAGATGAAATATGTGAGAGTGAGGTGGAGGAATAGAATAGAATAGAGATTAATTTATGCAAATAAACTTACATTGAACCACCTTTGAATAGTGATCACTTTTTTTTTTCAATCTACCGCTGATTCGGAAAGCTGTCTCAATACAAGAAAAACGAGCAAAACTTGCGCGTTGCTCTTTTAAATAATTTTATTGTTACTTTACATTTCTTTTAAAGGAATTCACGCGTACGGTTTTTACAAAGTTGATTGTTTTTAGGGATTCCTCAAGTATCTCTGGCTATAATGGCGCGGTTTTGCATCAACATGTCATACAATGCCGCCATACAGTGGTCGACGGAGCTGCTGCCGACTGGCGTTCGGGCGTCCGGAACATCTCTCATACACGTGAGCGGTTACATTGCCACTGTGGTGTCGCCGTTCATAGTTTACTCTGTGAGTTAAATATATTAATAATGATATACCTTGACAATTACTCTTAATAAATATCCCAGATGTAATAATAGTCGGAGGTAATAGACTCATCGCTCATACTAGAGAACAGGTGTTGTTTATTAGGACAAGTCTGTTGGGGTTATGACTACTGATAATTTTCTTTTTACAATAATACCATAGCATAGTGTTAACTACATTTTCTCTAATTTAATTAAAAAAATCTGTATTTTTGTAATGATATAGTAAGTCATTTGAAGAGTATTAAAGTTGAGCTTCCTGTCAGTTCTTCTTATAGTCTGGTTTTTAATCCCAGAGACTAAATTGATAGGTGTAATTGTCAAATTATCAAATAATGTTAGCCATGGTTAGCATGGTTGTGGTGTACCTGCGATATCGATTTGTTTAATCGTATGTTTTTATTTTAACATATTAGTTTTAAAGCTTTCGGAAACATGACGTTTACACAAACATCTATTTAAATTTATGTACATATCCTAGTGTTTCCATTATTATTTATTATATTTTTATTTCATTATTATTTAATATTTTCCATTATTATATTTACAGTATTAAGCTACACACCAACATTTTTTCTTTCAAACAGTAAAATATTTTAAATAGTGTATGCTTTATGATATATGACTATGTACTGACAGTAGATTTGACATATCTTAAGAGTCTATAATAGACCTACCTGAATAAAGATATCATACCCTTTATCCACTATCATCCAAAAAAAATAGAGTACCATAATGAAAAATTTATTTATTTATTTACGTCATACTAAGCGAGCTTTACAGTCCCAGTATAATAATATATTTATAGGTATTATATTTATTAAGGATGATGATGATGATGATGGTCTTAATAAAATTTAGCAAGAACCATCGTGAAGCCGTACATAGGTTATCTTTCATCTCAAAAAAGCAGACGAAGTCACTGGAATCGGCTAGTATACATACATATATTAAGCATTCCTTTTTATATATATAATAACAACAATCTCAGGCAATTCACACAGCGCCATCTAGATCCAAGTTAAGCTAGCTAAAGCTTGTGTTATGGGTACTAGACAACTGATACATATACATAGATATTCTCTTTTGTAAATACATACATATTATACATAGAATACACCCAGACCGATACAAACAATCATACTCATGAATACAATTGTTTGTGCCGTGTGAGGAATCGAACCCGTGACCATCGGGCGTAAAGCGGTGTGCTAGAACGATAGACCACCGAGGTCGTCGAGGTCTTATGAATTTTAACATTTCTATAAGTAATTATAATTATTAGTCATTGACATTACAACTTTGTTCTATACTGGTTCTTTTAGGAGCGGTTATGGAGCTCTTTACCACTGTTGCTGTTGGGTTTGATAGCTATGGTAGCTGGCACCTTCGGCGTCCTCTTGCCTGAGACGAAGGGCCGGCCCATGCCGCAGTCGATCGCTGACGGCGAGAGGCTGGTCAGGGAGCATTCATTGTGCGGGTGAGAAACTTTGTCTTTGTATTAGACTGATTCATTTTGTCATTTAGTAGAAAGTATGAAAAATGAAAATTTATAGATTGAATTACTATTTTTGTTTTACATAAAAAAAATAGTAGTATTATAAATATTAGTGTTTGTGAGAATTAATATTTATTATACTTTTTCACACATAAATTACTCGTCCCGGCTTCGCCCGGGTGTCCGGAATCTTCCTCTTGAATCACTCTATCTATTAAAAACCGCTTCAAAATCCGTTGCATAGTTTTAAAGATTTAAGCATACGTAGGGCAGGACAGACAGCGACAGCGACTTTGTTTTATACTATGTAATGATACATTGATAAATACATAGAAAATACACAGACCGATACAAACAATCATACTCATAAAAACAAGTGCTTATACTGGTAGCGTCCGAGTAATCGAACCTGCGACCATCCGAAATAAATCCGCATGCTAAACCGCTAGACCACCGAGGTCGTCGATATTGTTCCTCATCTGGATAATTATGGAATGGTGTTCTGTCAGCGTATACCATTATTGCAATCTTGTGTAACTTTACATTATCAGCTTTAAAATAATGTTTATTTCCAGGAAACCCGAAGAGGTGGACGTTGAAGACTGGAGCGATAAGGAGAAGTCTCGTATCACGTAGCGCTCGTGTACTCAAGACCAGGCTACCTAGTAAGCTACCTAATGTTAGGTACCAATTATTAAATACCGTACACCTACCAAGTATACTACCTACATTGCAAAAGAGAACTTCAATGATCTATGTACTTAGTTGATGTTGCTTTACAGTAAATGCATTGATTACTGGACGTTAGGATAATTTAATAGATTTTATTTTATATAAGTATTCATATACTTCCGCTCAGGGTTGTCAATTCGTTATATTTGAATAGATTTAACATTATTATAATTAAGCTAAGTTTTAGTTAGTAATCCTTATAATAGGCTGGCTCATTACTTATGTGTATATTGTTTTAGTAAAAATAATTTGTATGTTGGTACGAAATGATGCTATTAATATAAAAAATAAATTTGTAAGTAATACGGCGTACACTGAGTTGAAAATAAAAAAAGGACATTATGTATTTTTTTTAGATAGGATTTAAGTAACTATCGGAAACTATTAACTAAATAACAGTTATAACTAACTATATAACAGTTTCGAAACTGTTTCGATTCGAAACTTTTATAATGGTTTAACACACCGCTCTACTTCCGCTGTTGCTTCTGTGGGCTAATTATGTAACACGATATGAAATTGTTTCTGTTGAAGTTGTGATGCAATATGAAATCATTTCAATTTAAAAAATGCGATCAAGTAAGGTCGAATGACCGCAACATAAATCATTTCTATCGATAAAACACTACTATGAAGTTGCAGCGGAATATTTTTAATCCGACCAATTTAAAAAGTCAGTACATTAGATAGTGTTATATTAAAGGTTTTTAATATAAAATATTGGATAAATAAAATATCAGTTTGAGATGTTGACAGAATCTGTTTATTATTCTTTAGTACTAATTACAAGTCATTCACTAAGAAGTTTCTATATACAACATCCTTCTCTTTACATAAATGAAATTAATAAAAAATAACTTCCTTATCTTAACTAATAATCATATCTTTGAGGACGATGTATTATTCGACCAGAACGAGTAATATATGGGAAATCAGAATGTGTTTGTACTCTAGCAGATTGAGACGCACTATCAGTAGCAGTGTCACTATTAACAATTATTTCTTTTCCCGTTGTAGTAGTTACAGTAACTTTATTATCTTCCTCATCCGGGATATAGTATGGTACAGAAGGTAATATCTTTATAAAAAACCTATTCCTCAAAAATACTCTATTATCAGATTCTATAAAATACGATCTAGCATTTCTCTGACTCTTAATTACACCCTTTCTCCATTCATTCCTAACTTTAAACAACACAACATCCCCAGGTTGCAACATTTTTAAATTCACCTTATTTCTGTTATAATTTCTCTCACTCATCATCGTTCTTTCTATCAATTTTGGTTTAATACTAACTTTAGGTTTGAATCGTTCAGAATTACTTGGTAATATTCCTCTAAGTTTTCTATTAAATAAATTTTCTGCTGGCGATGGAATATTATGAGCTATAGGAGTGTTTCTAAATTCCAACATTGCTAAGAATGGATCCTTATTCTCATGTAAAGATTTACATAATAAACGTTTAACGGACTGAATCGTGCGCTCTACCATCCCATTAGATTGTGCATGCTCAGGACTACTAAAAATATGATCAAATTCCCATTTTATAGAAAACTCTTTAAATTGTGTTGAAGAAAACTGTGGACCTCCATCACTTATTAATGTCTCCGGTATTCCATTCCTACTAAATATTCGTTTAAGATTAATAATAACCGAAGTACTTGTAGTTGATTCCAAATAACATAGTTCAGGATACTTTGAATAATAATCGACAGCTAATAAATAACTGTTTCCACCAAGCTCAAATATGTCAACTGCTACCTTTTGCCAGGGGCTATCTGGCACACTATGAGAAACTAAAGGCTCTTTTTTTATTGTTATTACTATAAAGTTTACATGTTTCACAAGAAGAAATCATGTCAACAATTTGAGAATGCATACCAGGCCAATACATGACTTCTTGAGCACGTAACAATGACTTCGTTATACCTAAATGTGGATAATGTATTCTAGATAGCATTTCATGTCTTAATTTATGAGGAATTACTAAACATGTATTCTTTAAAATAATACCAGATTTAATTATTAACTCATTTCGCACATTCCAGTATGATTTAACAATATCAGGTACTTGGGCTCTATGACAAGGCCAACCATTTTTAATAAATCCTTTTACAGTTTTTAATTCATTATCTTGTGCAGTTAATTCACGAATATTACCTAATTGTCTATCAGAAATATTAACTACACAAAGTAAAATATCAATTTTAGCCTCAATTTCCTCAGTTTCTAAATCAATTTCAGAGTTACACTTTTCATTAAACGATCTAGATAATGTATCAGCCAAATATAATTCTCTACCTCTTTTGTAAACCAAATCAAATTGATATTTTTGAAGTTTAATTAACATTCTCTGTATTCTAGGAGAAGCAGTATTCAATGGTTTTTTAACTAGTGAAACTAAAGGAGAGTGGTCAGTTTCAATCGTAATTTTTCGACCATAGATAAATTGATTAAACTTCTCACAACCAAATAAAATAGCCAAAAGCTCCTTCTCAATTTGAGCATAATTATTTTGGCACTCATTTAACGCTTTTGAGGCATACGCTACTGGAAGATTATTCTGTAGTAAAACAGCACCTAATCCATATTTTGAAGAATCAACGGACAAAAGAATAGGTAACTTTTCATTGAAAAATTGTAGCACTGGCTTTTTTACTAATAAACTCTTTATTCTATTAAAACTTTCCTCATGACTTTCATTCCAATCAAACTCAACATCTTTTTTAAGAAGATTTCTAAGAGGAGCATTTTCTATTGCAAAATTAGGCACAAATTTGGAAATATAGTTAACTACTCCTAGAAATCGTTCCAACTCTTTACGATTTTTAGGACTTTTCATGTCTAAAATTGATTGAATTCTATCTTTTCCTAGTTGTATTCCTTCTTGACTTATTATATGACCTAAATATTTCAATTCTGATACACCTATTTTACATTTTTCTTTATTTAACTTTACATTACCTTCTTGTAATCTTTCAAATACTTTCCTTAGTCTTTTTTCATGCTCACTTTCATCTTTACCCCAAATTAATATGTCATCAATATATACCTCAACCCCTTCTAATCCTTCTAGCATCTGACGCATACGATGTTGATAAATTTCTGGAGCACTACAAATACCAAAGGGCATTCTAAGAAATTTATATCTGCCAAATGGCGTATTAAAACAACAAAGATCTGAACTGGCTTGTGTTAATTTAATATTCCAAAATCCATTTTTAATGTCAAGCGTACTAAAAATATTAGCTCCAGATAATTTGCTAGATATTTCATCAAAAGTCGGGAGTTCAAAATGTTGCCTTTGAATAGCTTCATTTAAATCTTTAGGATCTATACATAGTCTCAAATCGCCATTAGGTTTATACACAATTACTAAAGAGTTAACCCATTCAGTAGGATTTTGAACTTTAGAAATAACACCTATTCGCTCTAACTCCTCTAACTTCTTCTTAAGACGAGGTTGTATAGCTAGGGGTACACGTCTACTTGCATGAACTACAGGACTCACATTTTCTTTCAATTTAATGTCATACTCTTCTTTCATACATCCCAAACCGACAAACAATTCTTTATAATCTGTCATAACAACTTGCTCACATGATACCTGACCCATACTGTATTCAGGATTTATTATTTTCAATTGTGCAGAAGATTGCAATCCAATAATATTGCACGCACGTTCACAATCTACTATAAAGAACTCTAATTTATGAACATTACCATTATATTTACAGTCCAGAACAGTCTTACCTAAACAGTTGATCGGAGTTCCCGTATAAGTCGTCAACTTGGAATTAGTAATTAGTAAATTATGTATGTCACCACCTAATTCAGGTAAATTATCTGCCCTTAGTACATTTGCTTGTGCACCAGTGTCCACTTTTAGCTTCAATTCTTTTAAATTACCTTGATTATATGCTCCAACTGTTATTACCCAGTCTTTGTTACCATTGAGTGAATGTATGAAAACTGCGCCCAAACGAATAGTTTCAATTTCATGTTCGGATTCATCAACTTCAACAGTTTTTACTTGACACTGTCTAGCAAAATGATTATATCTCTGACATTTCAAACATCTTTTGTTGAATGCTGGACATTGTTGAGGTATATGTTCATATCCACATCGTTTACATAAAAAAGTTTTAACTTTCAAATTACTATTTTTTATCTGATATCGAGAAGATTCATATTTTCTGTCAATGTCAACTTTATCACGTATGTTTCGATTTAATTTTAGTATTCCACTGGATTCACCACCATTACAATCTGCTGTGTTAGCACAAAGTTGTTGAATCTGCATTTTCGTTTCCTGTGATGCCCGACAAATTTCTTCAGCTTTTATCAATGATAAATCCCTAGTTCGTAATAATCTATCCTTTACTGTAATGTCTGATATTCCACATACCAAACGATCCTTTATAAGACTTTCGGCTAACGCGCCAAATTCACAGGTCATACTCAAATCACGTAAACACGCAATATAATCTTCATATGTTTCATCTGGCTTCTGATTTCTAGAGAAAAATTTGTATCTCTCATATGTGATATTTTTTTGAGGAGTAAAGTGTTCTTCAAACTTAGATAATATTAGTTCAAAATCATCTTTATTTTCATTTTTTGATGCATCATATACAAATGTGTTATATAATCTTAGACCTCTATCACCTATAAGACTTAGAAGAATAGCTGTTTTTATCTTACCAGATTTACTGTCATTCCCCGATGCCAACAGAAATATTTCTAATTTCTGTTGAAAAATTTTCCAACTATCTTCCATATTGACATTCCATATTAATTCGGAAGGTGTCCGTAATACATTTCCATAACTATTATTTTCGTCAGCCATTACAGTAATAAATCCAAATAACCGCGCTGAATCTAAATCTTTATTAATTTACCGACTGCGCCATGTTATATTAAAGGTTTTTAATATAAAATATTGGATAAATAAAATATCAGTTTGAGATGTTGACAGAATCTGTTTATTATTCTTTAGTACTAATTACAAGTCATTCACTAAGAAGTTTCTATATACAACAGATAGCTTATACCTTTAGAGGGATACATTTTAATTTATTGGGTTGTTACACTAGTTGGTTGATTTGAAACAATTTTTATTGCGTTCAAAAATTACAAAATATACTGCAGCGTTCACTTGTTCTTTTATTTTAATTTTATTAATAGACATTTAATAAAATAAAATAAAGAAAGTCTATTCTATTCTAATGAAAAAATAAGGTTAATAATTTTGAATATAAAAGCATATTTTATACAAACTATTTATAATCATTATTAATATTAATCTAACCTACAAATTAAATTTTCTTTTCTGCTATAGATACCTAGGTACCTAATTTTATATTAAACATTTACTCTAGTTAATACAACATTCTATGTGATTTGGGACGAAAATAAAATATCGAATTGGCAACACTGATGTCATGTTGTGAGTCGTGACAATTTTCCCATTTTAATAAATTTAAAACCTTTTCACGACTTTCTACGTAATATTTAATATAATAAAAATATATGTAATACTGAAAATTACCAAAACAAGATAAATAATGCTGCTAATGCTGATATTTTAAAGATTGTAACCAAAAGAAACACCTTCTAAATTGTTTCTCATAATGTAAAAACCGTTTCAATTCCACGCTGTCATTTCGGCAAAATAGCGATTACGTGACGTTGCAACGAGGTTACTAAATCGACTTTCGATAGAAATAATTTTTATCGATATGTAAAGTTGCGTTTACGTTGCAATGCTAGTTGACAGCGTCAAATGGCGTCAATATGATCGCATTATTGACAGATGACGTCATTTTCACTACGTTACATACGAAAATCGTTGCGAACGAAGTTACATAATTAGCCCACTGGTCTCGGGTTCGAGTCCTCGCACGGCACAGTCCTTCACAACGAATGCTGTATAGTCGAAATTTACCACTTGCCGTCACATGGTTTTTTAGATCATATGGCATTGTACTTTATTCCAGTTACGTAATAAAATGGATAATGTTAAAATTCTTGCATCGCAATAATTGCGGTGTAATTTTTCCATATTAGGTCAATTTTTGACATGACATACTCTTTACAAAGAATACTTTATAGTAGAAGATTACTACTTGCCATCACGTGGTTTTTTAGATTATGTGCTATTCCATTTTATTCCAGTTACGTAATGAAATAGATAGTGTTAAAATTCTTGCATTGCCATAACTGCGGTGTATTTTTTCAATACTAGGTCAATGACAAAGTCCGCTATCTTGTGTATTGTATAATTGTGCGTGTGTGTGATAAAAACATATCGAAATGAACTTTAAATATATACTTATAAAATTATAGTTTTGTACTTAAAACATACGTTTTTTTTATTGATACATTTCTAAATACATCTATTGTGCTCACCCTTTTTCAAAGTTCGCTACCTAGACTCGTCTAAGAATTGAAGGATATTCTTAGGAGCGATGGTTTTTATCTCCTCCGGATATAGTATATACTTTCCAAAAGAGATATTTCGTTTATGCATGAATGGGCTACAACCACATAGGATGTGTGGTGGCGTTTCCTCTTCTGCTTGGCAAAATCTGAAGATTGCACATACGTGTTACTAGATATTTATTAAAATGCTAGGCGACCCGCGCGAAATACGAGAGAGATAAAGAGATTTTTATTGCTGCTTCCTTGCGTCGTTCCGCAGTATGATGTTATATAGCCTATAGCCATCGATACATGAGCTTTACAATGCTAAAAAATATATTTTTAATTGAATCTGTATTTCATTTTAACGTTAACCTCACAAGCAAAACACAAAATCTTCAGCTTCCATAATAGTAGATATAGATATTACGTGTAATAATAAAATATCGTCTAGATTTTCTAAATTCCAAAGCCTAAATTCCAATACTTATCTTTGTACTTGCGTAAGAAATAAAAAGTATGAAGATTTGTCTCTGATTTAATAACTGAATATGCATATTATTAAAATAATATTCATAAAAACATCAAACTAATGTAATAAATAATTTTAGTTATTGAAAAGTCCAGTTCGCGGTCTTTCTCATTCTCTATATTTACATATATATTCTTTACTCCTTGAAAGTCGATTCCAGTGCGAGAGCGTACGTCTAAAGGCGACATATAATAAGACAAATATAAAACAAATCCACGCTTAAAAGTGATTACTTTAGGTTACATATATATATATAACAGAAATATTCAAAACTAGCTTGTTATTTACACAGTATAATCATATTGTATTGCATAGCGCAGTAGATCAAAGGTGCTATTTAATATAAGGTCGTTATTTTAAATATATCTAGCATATATTTTTTTAGTAATAAAAATATAATTCGATGGCTTGTATAGTAATAAAAAAAATATTTTACAATAAATTAATATAATCGGTCTAACGGAAATAGTGCTCAATAATTTTAGATACAGAACACACAAGTAGTTACTAGTTATATTATTCTGTGGTTTTAAATGTCAAAATAGTAGGTGACACAGATTACACTGGATGACTTTGTTTACTCTGTGGCTTAGGTATCTACATCCTACGTACCCTCACTATACATATCAAAAGTGGATTTCTTTATTATATTTTCACTGAAAATTCATATCGCTTAGTATTGATGTTAATGGTATGTTGTACCACTAATATATGTTAAATATTCATCTATTTTTTTAATAATGATAGTTATAATTCCATGTAATAACTTTGTATTAAGAGTTAAACTTGAAAGTATAACTTTTTAATTTCTTCACTGTATGAATTATTCTTTTTTGAGCTCCAGTTAATATCTGAGTCAAAGAGAAAACATAATAAATAGTCTGTGCACTTAGCAACAGATTAATAATTCTTAACGTAATACTAAAATTCAGATCTAATGTAAGAAGGTGGTATGTGTTCTACTTAAAAACTTTAAATAATTTTAATATTATTTCTAGGTTTGAATAATAAATAAAAAAAAAATAGTTACATTTTTCAACCTACCTACTTAGTTTTGTCAATAGTCAGATATTGCATTGTGTATAAACTGAATAAATTTAAACTGTGATAAATATTTATATTGTTAAGAATATCATTTTTTAAATTTAATCGTATGATCGGTATCTTGGGATATACTAAAGACTTATTTATGTTTGAGTATTATTACGTTATCTATTACTAAGCCTACACGCCTAATCGCTTAAGTAACAACATTTTTCTCACCTATCAACTTAATTGAATTAAATTAATTCAAGATTCTAAGCGCCGTTAATTAATAGATAATATTTTTCAACACTTGCTCACTTGCTAAATTTTGTTTAATTTTCTGGTTTTCGATATATAAAGCAGTTTAAAAAACACGCGTGCGTTATAAAAGCAAATAGTGAAGTTATATTTTATAACCGCACTATTTGCTATTTTTTTTATCAAAATTCAAATCGACGACCGCGCGGCGCTAGCCAGTAAGCAGCGCGCTGATAAAAAAAAGTAAAACTGCGGGAATGTGACAGTGAGCATCACAGATTTATGGTTGAGATTATTTAAAATCAAATATGTTGAAAAACGTGTATTTAACGAGTGTATTAAATACACGTTGTTTAACATATTTGATTATTCAACATAGCTCTATTACGCCTTCGTCATCGGCTCAGGCTGAAATTCCGCCTCGTGTGTCAATTAAATTTTTTCAGTATAACTTCCGTTTCTTCTAAGGTATTCGTAATAAACGTAGTGATTATTTGCTTAGTGATATTCATTTTAGCGAGCGCATAAAACACTACGACTAAAATATACGCGACAGTAATCTAATATCGACATATCCTATTAGAATTAAATTGTGTAGAACCTTGCAATTGGCCGTCCTGTTAAAACTGTCCTCCTGACGAACTCAATTTTACGTACATACATACATACATACATTTTTTTATATTAGTTCTACATAATATAGGAGTCCTTCTACGTTTTAATTATTATTTCATTCATTCATTCATTCATTTATTTATTGCTATTACATGTTGTAACAAAATTGGTCTTAATTTACTAAAAGTATAGAATCAAACATGAACCCTGAAAGGGCACAGCAATCACATTAATAAATCTTATATAAACTACATAATTAAATTTTTACATTATATATATGTATCGTTGATTAGTATAAAAAAAATAAAAAAAAACAAAAAAACAAAAAATCATCACTACATTAAAACAAACAGGCACAAACACAACTAACCTTTTTCCTTGAAAAATTCCTGTAGCGCATAATAACTCTTTGCGATTAAATATTTTTTTAGAGCTATTTTAAACTTTTTAGAATCATCCTCACCTTTTAAGTTAATTGGTATTTTATTGTAAATTTTTATTGACATTGCGTAAGGGCCAGAATGGAATAACTGTAGCTTCGAGAATGGTCTTGCTAATCTACATTGCGGTCGCAATGCCTGAGGGCGGGTATATTGTGGAAATAGGTGCATATTACATTTAACAAAATGACACGCTTCTAATATGTACATTGACGGTAAAGTTAAAATTTTATATTTAATAAAGTATGGTTTGCAAGTTTCCCTGTTATCTATGTTAGCAATTATTCTGAGACATCGTTTTTGCAATTTAAAAAGATCAATCACGTTTGTACTATTACCCCACATCAATATGCCGTACTGGAGCAAAGAGTGGGCATATGCATAATAGGCGCACATAGCTCTCTTGGTATCAGAAGATATCTTTAGTTGGTGTAGTGCATAAGTGAATCTAGACAGCTTGGTAGCCACACTCTGCACATGCGCTTT